GACTGTGGTGTCCAAGTTATCCCGTCAGTTGGGAACCCTCCAAGCCACAGCTTTTAGCGCACCGTGATAGCTTCAAGTGCATCAGATTGTTTTTAGTGAGGAAAGAAATGCGCTGGGGGTCGCCCTCACTCTCTATCCCACCGCCTAGCTGATCGGTCGCGCGAGTTGAAATGGACGCAGTGCTAAAAAAAAAAGAGGAAAAACAAGCCGGAGGTGAGCATTGTGGGACAGGTTGTGCAAGGGACAGCACAGGTACTGGATAAAAGCCCAGCCAAGCATGTTTCGCCGATCTTGTGCCTATGTCTGACGGAACTGTGAAAGGTTCGGTTCATCACTGGGTCCCCCGGCGTTCCCTGTGTGGTTTCGGGTAGCTAAACTCCAGCTTGCTTCATGCCTTGTTTAATTTCCTAAGGAAATTGGTGCGAAAACTTGCGAGTAAATTTTTAGGAACAAACCTTTTATGGTTCGGTCCGAATGTTGAAATGCATATTTGAGCTGACATCCATCAGTTGTTTTCAGGTGACTGCCTGTTCGCAGCGTGTGCCTATTAACCGCATATTCCGTAATAGTTGATGCCTTTCAGCTCAAATATTTATACCGACTTTCGCACCAAGTCTGAAAAAGATTTGCTCCGAAGAATTTACTCCAGGTTTGCACATTAATCTCCTCGGAAATTAAACAAGGCAAGTGGCTTAGTATTATAATAATTTGGACAATTAACTATCAAGACGTCTCTCTCGAGCATTCATTCACAGTCGACTGCGTACAGTAAAAAATACGACCTGAAGGTCGATGTTTTGTTTGAATGACTACAACTAGCTAATGTGGAACCGCCTGAATTTTCGGTCAAGTGCAACGTCTCATAGCTTTAATGGACTAGGAGGTTCGTTCTTCCGTAAGCAGGTGACACTCGCAAATGTGGTCTGGTTATAGATGGCAGCAAAGGAAATTATAACAATTATTTCTGACTTCTTAACATCCGTCCATGTTGTATATCATTTAGAATGTCATTTATTAGGTCGTTTTGCGAGTTTCAGCCACTTTCGTGCTATCTAGCTTTGATGCGCGAATTATATTTATTATTTAGGACCGGTGGAACTCATCATATGCTCGTTGTCAATTTGCACTTTTTTGATTAAAATGGCAGAAGGGTCTGATAACAATGTTGTGAGTTAAAGTCTAAGGTACAGGCAGTGCCCATAGCTTCCTTTGGTACCTCTCAAATTGAAAAATCAATCCTTGTCCATCCACAGCACAGACTGCATATGATACATCAGAGGACATCAGTCGACCTCGCCCCCCACCATTCCCACCTCTATCACCGTTTTCCGGTCTCCCGCCCACACATTATGTAGGAAGGATATGGACTTACGACCGATGTCTCCTAATCTGTCAGGTGCACAGTGGGACCATAAATGTTATCGATTGCGACTTACACGGTTGTCCAATGACAGACAATCCGGCTATAATCGCTCCTTTTGACAACTCCCGTCGATATGAAATCCAGGCGAGTGAAGCTTATTTCATCTGGGTTGAGGAACTAGCTCATGCAGACGAGGTAGGACATTTTTTCAGCCACTGTTCCCGTGCCCATCTTCAGTCAGGTCGGGACAGTCTTGTATCTGAGATAAGATAAGCGTGGGAAGAATAAGCTCGACACTGCAAAAATTTCTTTCACTGAAGTAAACTTTGTGTGCAGCTCACGTGTGCTATCTTATGGCAGCGGTAGTCTTCGTTTAATCTGATTTACAAAATATCGGGGCGCGTGCCCACCACCACTGGCCGGGCCAGCGGCGCCAAAAACTAGTTCCACCTAGTTGTCAACGGACCTGATCGGTTTTATTTCCAAATTTCGGGTGATTTTGCTCCAGAAACTGTCAAATTTTCCTTCTTTTAGCCTGATGATATTTCACCGTTGCTTACTGTAAGCCCATAGGCCTCATGACACTTTGCTTTTCCTTTGTATTGTGCCCCCATACAGTCCACGGCCATGGTTGGTAGTCAAGTGGGCGACACCCGACCGCTGACTTGCTGTAAGTTCTCTCCTGACGGCAGCCTCCTAGCCACCTCTTCCATGAGTGGCCTCTGCCGTCTTTGGTCCCTGCCCGACTGTCAGTTGAAGCAGAACCTGCGCGGACACACGGCTGGCGCCTGTTCTATCGCCTGGCATCCGCAGGCAGGTCTACAGGCCAACCAGCAGATCTCACTGGCCAGTTCTGCCCAGGTACGTCTTGATCCGCTGCGCTGTTTTGTCTACTTGCGACCATGATCCGGACTACTGACCTAGTAAATCTTACTTATGTCATCATTATTGCTTTCGCCTGATTGACTCTTGTTACTAGACTCGGCTCTGTTAGGTTCTTCTCATCCGAGTCCTTTGTTTGCCCCAACTCGTGAAATCTGACGATTTTTACAAGAAAATTCCTGTTACGCCAGCGCAGCCCGCCCAAAGACGTTTTGATCCTCA